TGGCAGCCAGGCCCTTGGTAAGGGGGTCTGACTCTATGATCTATTGAGGTCCCTTCCGACCCTAACATCTATGAAACTAGAGTCAGCTGGGAGCAATTGTTTGCTGCTCTGACTCCTGCTACATAGAAAAATAGGGCTGGACGGGACCTTAAGAAAGCCACTTAGTTCAGCCCTCTGTTCTAGGCAGAGTCATCTCTATCTAAACTATCTCAAACAAATGTTTGCTTGACCTGCACTTAAACACTTCTAGTGATTAATACTCTATTCCACAGCCTCAATGCTTAACCACCCCCAGAGTTAGAAAGTGCTTTGTATTATGCAACCTAAATGTCACTTGTTGCAATTTAAGCTTATTACTTTTTGTCCTGTCTCTTATGGATGCAGAGAACAGTTAGTCACCATCTTCTTTAAAACAACCCTTTTTGTTTCATAGTTTCATAGTAGCTAGGGTTAGGAAGGACCTGAACAGATCATCTAGCCTGACCCCCTGCCACAGGCAGGAATGAATGCTGGGTTAGGTTTGAGGCATCCGGAACTGAGAAGCCCAGTGCAGAGGACAGTATACCAGGAGTCAGCTATTCAGATGAGAACTATCTCCTTTCCACATCATGACTTTCCAAGTCAGTCCAAAATAGAAGGGGATTAGCTCAGAGGACTTCGGAGATGGCCTCTGAGGCTTCTCATTGCTAAGGCACTGGTCCTAGTCTGCCACACTGGTTTGGTGGGATCTCAGAGTCAGTCTTACCTAATAATTGCTTTGTGTCTCTTGGATTAAATTCATTTTCTTCAGGTTCTTCAGTATAGTTCTTGGTGGGGTAAATATTTGCATAGAATCGTAGTGTCAGGAGTACAACTGGGATGTAGGCCTGTAAGGGACTGTGATGTAGGCAGTCACCCTGGGTGGACCCACAAGCTGGTGGGAGAGTCAGGAGCAGGAAGGAGGAATCCAGACCAGTGTCACTAGCCACAGGGTCCAGAGCAGACAGATATAGCTATACAGGACTGGGCATGGGTGATTGTCAAACTGAGCCATGAGACAGAAGCCAGCTGTCAGAGGACAGGGGTGGGCAAAATACAGCCCGGGGGCTGGATGAAGCCCGCCAGGCCATTCTATCCAGCCTGCAGGCCGCCCCCCCCAAAAAAAAAAAAGAAAATAAATATTTATCTGCCCCTGGCTGCCTGTCATGTGGGCCTCGATGGCTTACCAAAACTCAGTAAGCAGTCCTCCACCTGAAATAATTGCCTGCCCCTGGTCTAGAAGCACATGGATCAAGGAGCCAGCAAGACAGTCTGGAGACAGAGGAGTCTAGACCCTAGAACAAAGATTCAGCAGGCAGGAACAAGGCTAAAATCACAAAGCCAATCAGCAGGACCCAAAATGCTAACAAACAGGTAGGGGCCAGGAAACTCAAAACAAGTTGTTAGCAGTCCAAAGTTAAAACATAAGGTGCAGACAGAAGAGCAGTTCCCTGTTGTAACTCATGGCATTTTGCAGGAAGCTCTAGGCGTTACAATCCCACAGACCCAACATACGTTCACTGTTGTATCCTGGTGGTTGAGGGATCCAGCTCCCGCAAGCCTGCAGCCGCTCTCCTCTAGCAAGCCCCAGCCCAGACCCAATGCTCTTTTCAGAATGGGAGGGAGGAAAAGGTAGCGAAGGGAGCTCATTCTGGGGGGTGCCCAGCCGGCACTGGAGGGTGGGGCAGGTGGATTGGAGCTCCCCCCCACCTCAGGGGGGCTCCAATCCACCCAGACCACCCTCCAGTGCCAGCTGAAAAAAACCCCAAACCGAGCTCTCTCTGCTCCTTTCCTTCCCTCCTGTTCTAAAGATAGCACTGGGAGTAGGGCTAAACTGCATCAGCCCAGCCCTGCTGCCAGCATGCACAGACACAAGTTACTGAAGGCACTCTATTTTGGAGCATCTTCAGCTGAACCCTCATGCAGTGTCAGATTACCATGGGATCGGGCCCTTTTAAAGCACTCTGCAGCTGTGGACTTGTATTTGGTCACAACTGTAGAGTGCTTTCAGGGACCAGATAGGGCAAAAATTATTACTTCTGTCTACACCTAAAGAAGCATTCTATTAGATAGCCTCATAAGATCAGGTTGAGCTTTTGCTTATAAGTAGACAGTCATGCCTACATAGGCAACTGGGACCACCTGAGAGTATTTAGGTCATTGGCAGCCAGGCCCTTGGTAAGGGGGTCTGACTCTATGATCTATTGAGGTCCCTTCCGACCCTAACATCTATGAAACTAGAGTCAGCTGGGAGCAATTGTTTGCTGCTCTGACTCCTGCTACATAGAAAAATAGGGCTGGACGGGACCTTAAGAAAGCCACTTAGTTCAGCCCTCTGTTCTAGGCAGAGTCATCTCTATCTAAACTATCTCAAACAAATGTTTGCTTGACCTGCACTTAAACACTTCTAGTGATTAATACTCTATTCCACAGCCTCAATGCTTAACCACCCCCAGAGTTAGAAAGTGCTTTGTATTATGCAACCTAAATGTCACTTGTTGCAATTTAAGCTTATTACTTTTTGTCCTGTCTCTTATGGATGCAGAGAACAGTTAGTCACCATCTTCTTTAAAACAACCCTTTTTGTTTCATAGTTTCATAGTAGCTAGGGTTAGGAAGGACCTGAACAGATCATCTAGCCTGACCCCCTGCCACAGGCAGGAATGAATGCTGGGTTAACAGCATTCATTCATGTATGTGAGGTGTTATCAAAACTGCGCTCAGACTTCTCATCTCCAGACTGAGTAATCCTAGTTCTTCCAACCTTTCCTTGTATGTCATATGTCCTAGACCTCTAATCCTTTTTGTTATTTTAATTTGATTTTTTTAAGTTGCCCATGTCTTTCTTGAAGTGCTGTACCCTAAACTGGACACAGTATGCCAGCTGAGGCCTCACCAGTGCTGAAAGTAGTAGAATCTCTTCTCATGACTTGCATATGATACCCAGTATGCTATTAGTGTTTTTTGCAACTGTATGAGACCGCTAACTCATTCAGTTTGTGGTCCACTATAACCTCTAGGCCTCTAGTTCTGAAGTATAGTAGTGTAGCCAGTCACTCCCCATTTTGTATCTGTGCATTTGATTGTTCCTTCTTAAGTGCACTACTTTACACCTGTCGTCTCAAATTTCATCCCAATTATTTCAGGCTATTTTTCTTATTTATCAAGGCCATTTTGAGTCCTCATCTTTTCCTCTAAAGGGTTTGCTACCCCACCCAGCTTGGTGTCATCTGCAAATGTGGTAAGTATGCACTCAATTCTATCCTCCAAAGAACATAGTGAGCAATACTGGACCCAGGATAGACCCCTGGAGAACTCCACTTGATATCTTCTCCCAGTGAATCATTGATGACTACTCTTTGAGCACAACCATCCAACCTTTTATGCACTCACTTTCCAGTAGTTTCATTTAGACTGCATTTTCTTGCTTACTAATGAGAATATCATGGGAGGCAGCATCAAAAGCTTTGCTAAATTAGAGGTATATTACATCCACTGCTCTCCCACCACCTTCAGAACCTGTTGCTTTGCCATAGAATGAAATCAGGTTGGTTAAGCATGACTTACTCTTGACGAATCCAGGTTCGCTGTTCCTTATCTCCTTGTTATCCTCTAGGTGCTTAGAAATATGTTATGCTCAAGTATCTTTCCAGGTATCAGAGTTAGATTGATTGGTCTGTAATTTCCTAGGTCCCGCTTGATCCCTTTTTTATGTAAAGATGAGGACTATATTTTCCCTTTTCCAGTCTTCAAACACCTCAGCAGGCCAGCAAAATACTACAGCATATTATTTTAGGACTTTTGAATGCAAATTTTCCATGTCTGCGGATTCAAAACTCTTTATGCATATTAGGGATGTTATCAGATCTCAACAATAATAGGCAGCAGCTCTGCAGTGACCTCAGTCAAGTCCTTGAGTACAGTACTCTAGGATGCATCTCATCCTGCCCAGCTGATTTGAAAACATCCACTTTGTCTAAGTTACCTCTGACTTGTTCTTTCTTTTCAGTTATCTACTGCCCTAATCTTTGCATCTTTCGCTGTTAAGTGAGCCTGTCATCTGATTATTGACCCGACTTCTGCCCACAAAACTATTTCTTGTAGACCAGACCTAGCAGGTAGAGTACAGCCTGCCCTCATAGGTTAGGATTACAATGTGTTAAAAAACTGTTGTCCAAGGCCACGTTTGAGGAAAAGGGATTTCTATACTGGCTTTTATGGCCGTTACCTGCAACAGGAGGACTGCCTTGAAGTAAAGTCTCTAGTGTAAAGGACCACTGGCTTCCACTTCCAGGTCTGGGCATGGAGAGCCGTGACAGAGCCCCACAAGCCTTAAACGGGCAGAGCTTAGGACAGACACCCCCACACACTTGAGTTCCAGCTGTGGCTGTGGTGCTCAGCGCCCCGAACTGCTCTGGGACCACATCCTGCGAGCAGGCATCTCGGACTGAGGGAGTCTGGCGACATGAGCAGAGAAGAAGGGGGCAAAATTGCCCCCAGGCGATGGGCACTACTCTCAGCAGCACCCCCAGGAGGGAAGTGAGCCTCCAGGTCACTTTCAGGGCAAGCTAAAGCCTACACAGCGCCACCGGCCTAGGCAGCTCTGCGCACCAGCCACCTGCACAGAACAGCATAACGCAGGCTACACTCCATGGGTGCGGGCAATATTACTCAGCGGGCCGGCCCCACCAATGGGAGAGCGGCGAGGGCGGGACCACGCCTGTCTGGAACCAATGCGCAGAAGAGCTGGGGTAAGAGGCCTCGCGTGATGTCACCAACCCGGAAGTGGTCGCTCCTGGAAGGGGCGGACCCTAGAGGAGGAGGAGGGGTGGCGCCGGGGACTGCGCGCTCGTGCTGCCCAGGGAGGGGTCCCCGGGTGGGTAGGTGGCGTGGCGTGGCGTGGCGTGGCGTGGCG